CGGCCCTTCCTGACCCTAAGTTTGTCCTCAAACTTGCTATACATTGTTAAAAAAAATATTTTGAGCAAATCAATTTCCTCAAAAATAATATAATAGTACATAATCATATTCATGCATAATAATAATTACCTCGTTTAATTATTTAGATTATCAAAGTACATAATTATGTTTTTCCAAAACTTTAGTGCTCTTATAATTAACTATATTGTAAATATAACTTAAGAAAAGAAAGACTAATACAAATTAAACATTTTAAAACATTCTTGTTGGTAAACTATTGAGTGGATCTGTCAACACTCATTCTACATATTTGCACTTTCAAATCTGTCTATATGTTTTTGCGAGTGGCTCTATGAACACTCACTACAATTCATGATACGAGTGGATCTGTCAACACTCTTTACTATACATGATGGGAGTGGATCTATCAACACTCGTTACCATACATGATGCGAGTGGATCTATCAACACTCTATAACATATAAATGATACAAGTCAATTTATCAATGATTATTATTATCATAATGAGTGGATCTGTCAACACTCTAGTTATTTCATATAACAAAATATTAGATACATAATTCTAACATGCAACCCTACTCATGACAAATTTATGAATCACAATATTAATTGAATTACTCATTACCACTTTCACTACTACTATTTTCATTGCTTGAGTTGTTATCAGAGTTGTGATCACTATAGGTTGTAATCCACGGCTTTATACGGTCGGCAGCCCATACATTCGAGTAATTTTTCTTTGCGATATTTGTGCCAACGATACTTGAAACTTCGTACCTGTCATTTTCTAGAACTTTGGTTACTCTAAAAGGACCAGTATATTTTGGGAGAAGTTTTTTACTTTTGCCATCGTTTCCCGGAATAGGTTTAAGTATTTTAACTAAGTCTCCTTCGTTATAAATTCTAGCTTTAGTTCTTTTTTTATCATACCTCAATTTTTGAAGTTTCTGATCCCTTTCGATGTGTGCGTCTATTTGATTTCTAATGTCCTGTACCGAACCTGATTGACGTACTTCGTTCAAAATATCAGAGAACACATTATCGCCTTTGCTAACTAACTGTACTCCAAATAATGCTTCTGATGGGGCCTTTCCTATTCCTTTATTCAGGGTATTATTCATACCCCACTGAAGTTTGCCTAGCACCGTATCCCAAAGTTTTTCACCTAACTTATCAGTATAAGCAGTTAACCCGTCTAGAATAGTCCTATTGTATCTCTCAACTTGCCCATTTGCACGAGGAGAGGCTACTGCATTCAGGATGTGCTTAACCTTAGACTCATCACAAAATTTTTTAAATTCTTTTGAAGTAAATGATGATCCTTGGTCCGAAATCATTCTATTCGGATAGCCAAAAGTTGTGAAAATATCATCTAAGGCGCGAATTGTAAGACTTGACTTTAAATTTCTTAAAGGCTTTAGTAAACAAAATTTTGTATAGCCGTCAACAAGTACCAAAAGATAAGCATTTCCTTTAACACTCCTAACAAATGGGCCTAAGTGATCCACGTGAACTGTGTCAAATGGTTTATTGACCTTGTGTATTGAATGTAATAGGCCTTCTTTAGGGCCAGCCGGTTCCTTACTATATGCACATTCCAAACATGATCGAACGTACTTTTTTATAAAGCGCTTCATCTTTGGGAACCAAAAGTCCTTACTAATTTTATGGAGTGTTTTATCTACACTAAAGTGACCTATGTCATCATGGTTCAATTTACATAGCTGAAAACGTGCTGACTTTGGTACTACCCACTTAAGCTCGTTGTTTACCACGCGAAAAAGCTTATTGTTTTTAACAGTATAATTCTTTTTTACTTCGGCGTATTCTTTATCCTCCAGAAGATTACGAATATGCTGTATACTCGGGTCTTTTAATTGCAAACTAAGAAGCCAGTCTTCTTGGGTGATCCTTAACATAGAAGGCATTGAACTATCATTTACTTGTATTTCATCTGATTGGGGATTTCTACTGAGGGCATCAACATGCGACATAGTATGTCCTGGTTTGTATTGGATGTCGAAATTGTATTCCTGAATAGCAATCCCACCAACCACCAACGTGCAATCCTCGGTATCAGATCACGCTTAGTTAGTGTAGCTCGTAACGCATTACAATCAGTGACCAATGTAAACTTTAAACCTAATAGGTAAACCCGGAAACGTTGCAGTGACGCTATTACTGCAAGCGTTTCCAGTTCATAAGCATGATATTTCTGCTCATCTACACTAGTTTTTCGACTAAAATATGCTATTGGTTTGACTACGCCATCTGCTGTTTTTTGTATTAAGATACCAGCTAATCCGTATTTACTTGCATCCGTATGGAGAGATGTTTCATTTTGTGGATCATATACAGTGTGTCCGGGCATGTAGTGATCAAACTTTAAGGGCGTAATCTATGGACAATTTTATCGATGAAAATACTTCAAATTTGGGGCCTGACCCATTTCTCGAAAAATTACATCGATTTAAGTTTTTAATTTTTAGTTTACACCTCTTTTTTAAAAAACAATGAAAGCGTGGGTAGCTTAACATTAATAGGCAAATATTTTATATCATGCAATAGCCAATAAAATTATCTATTAGTTGAAGAAGAGAGCAGACACAAGTTTCATACATTTTATGGGAGTAAGAATGGATTTAATTAGAAAAATACATTACTTTTTTCACTTCTTTTTCAGTTATTTTCCAACACAAGAAAAACCAGGTCGTTAAGATATGTTTTATTTGCATTGTATTATTAGTATTTGAGCTATTCTACAAAACGAATGTAAATTTATTAGTCTACGTCTATTAGTTTCGACGTAATTATTGAACAAAGATACCCCTTCCCAGCGGTTTCCATAGCGCACGCGACATGCGAAAATGCACTGCCTGAAAGAATCACACAGCCTATTCCGATTACTATATAATAGTTGAAAAACATTTTCTAGACGGCATAATTCTTCATCAAAATTTTTACCAGGAATCAAAATATCATCCATATAAGCAAGAGCGGAATTAAACCGAGCGTTGCCGAGAACTTTATTAATAGTACGTTGGAATACAGCAGGAGAATTTACCAACCCAAATGGCATTTTTTTAAATTGATATAGCCCGTCTGGGGTTATGAAAGCTGTAAGATGTTTACAACTAGGACGTAAAGGGATCTGGTAATAACCACTAGCCAGGTCTAAACTGCTGAAATATTTATTCCCGTTAAGCATATCTAATTGATCATCAATCCTTGGCATTGGAAAGTGATCTTTTTTAGTTTTACTATTCAGTGCTCTAAAGTCTACACACATTCTATATCCTCCACCCTTTTTTGCAACAAGTACTATAGGACTGGCATATGAAGATTTAGACTCTTCTACTATATCATTGTCTACAAGTTCCTGCACCATATCCCTTACGACCTGTCGTTCAGGATAACTCAAACGATAAGGTCTATCCCATCAAAAACAATACTTGTCAAAAAAACCAAGTCTCGCAACTCAGTTGTTCTACGGTAAAAAGTTGTGAGATCCATGTAATACCAAGTCCAGGCCAGGAAATCTTTAACGTTTTACATAAATTATTGACTTGGCCATCGCACTAAATAATTTAATTTACACGTGTTTTCATGCGATGGCCAAGTNTATCAGATTTCGCTTGCATAGCTTGTTCTTCACAAATAAAGTACTGGTTTTGTTCAAAGTAAGGCAATAATTTCCGTTGTTCTTTTGTCACACTTTTCATTAATGTAGTATGTGCGAGACGAAACTGATTCCAATATTCTTCAACAGATTGTAATTTCACTGTCACATAACCACGTGTAAGCCGCACCTTTGGGCATTTCTTAAAGTTCTCGTACGTTTTCGCAATAAGACGATATAAATCTTCTAATTCACATAAAGTTTGTTCGACGATTTCCATGGTTATTTATCAATCCTTATGCGTAAAAATACAATCACTGTGTAGCTTGTATATCCAGGAACGCCATTTAAATAATCTTGAAGTGAAATTCCGATGATAAAATGTCCAAAATCCGCAAAATAACGATCAAATCCAAAGTTATAAAATAATATTCTTCACTCGTAAACAACTTTCAATCTTCAATGCTAATTTATGCAAAAAAAAGGGTCGCCTTTTGTTCTCTTATCGCTCGGGTCCGACCGCTTACGCTCCGGCTCGCTAGGCCACTATGTTCCTTCCGATAGCTTGATTTAGGGTTGTTATTTGCGTAACTAGTGAATTGAAACACAGACGTGATGATCCTTTAGCTTTGTATTATTGACTACTGACTTTTTACAATCGACAACGAGTTTTATACAGGCGCGTAGGCGTTTTGAACTAACAGGCGTCATCTGCTTACTTCCACGGCAGTTCCGCTATCTTCGTGCTACGCGCGCGCCGAGGCGGGGTGGTATGTGATGACGTTGTGCGCGTGCAAGAAAGACACCTCAAACAAATCTGTAAACTGATGACGTCACCCGCTCACGTCTCCAACACCAGCGTGTCGCTACGCGCGCGCGGACGCCGGGTGGTATGTGATGACGTTGTGCGCGTGCGTGAAATGTGCCTCAAACTAATGGAACTATCTATATTCAACAATGGACGTCCTGAATTAGAATGGAAGATGAAGTGAAAGGCGCCTCTAACTCACCTAGACACTACTGGGTGAGGTGTACCTTCAGCTGTGGACGTCCTTTCACTGAAATAATAAGGTAAGCCGCTGGATTCAGGCTTTTTAGATACTTTTAAAAGAGGATTATGTCCAGCAGTGATGGCATCATCTGCTTACGTTCACGTGGTCTATTCTATCATCGTGATATGCACGCTAACTAATGGAACTATGTTCAGCAATAGGATGGAAGATGACGTCATCCGCTCACGTGTTCATTACTAGCGTGTCGTTACGCGCGCGCCGACGCCGTAGGTGATAACATTATACGCGTGCGTGTAAGGCGATAACCTGAGTTCAGTAACGGACGTAGATGACGTCGTCAGCTCCGTTGCCTCCGTTGTCTTCGTGCTACGCGCGCGCGGAAGCCGGATGGTATGTGATGACGTTGTGCGCGTGCGTGAAGGGCGCGTGCGCGGGCGCGGGCGAGGCGGCGGCGGGCAGCTGCAGCGCGCGCGTCTTGCCGCCGAGCGTGCAGCGAGTGGTGGCGCCGCTCTCCACTTCGACGGAGAGCTCGGTGCCTTTTAACCTGGGGAATGGGTTATAAATTAGAAAATCTATCTATCTAAACAGGGTGTTAGGTAAATGGGTATATGAGCCGACACTAGCCCATGTTAACATGGTCATATAAATGGTATGGTGAAGTCAGAAATTTGATATCATCATTTTATTTTTTTAAATTTTCATACAAAATAAATTTCATAAAATCAGATTTGTATGAAAATTTAAATAATTGAAATGAAGATATACATTTTCTGACTTCACCATACCATTTATATGACCATGTTATCATGGGCTAGTGTCGGCTCATATACCCATTTACCTAACACCCTGTATAAATAAAAATGAATTGCTGTTCGTTAGTCTGATTAAAACTCGAGAACGGCTGGGCCGATTGAGCTGATTTTGGTTTTAAAATGTTTGTCGTAGTCCAGGGTAGGTCTAAACGGTGAGCAAATAAGGAAAAATTGCGATGGCTTATTTATTGCCTTTAAGGCGGAACAGAGTTCGCCGGGTCAGCTAGTATACAATAAAACAGTGTCTGCGGGTTACTTTAATCCAGTGTTTTTCAACTTTTTTCATGACACAGCCCTAGTATGAAAAAATATTTTGCTACCCCCCGACCGCTTGCTTTTGCTTATTTTTCATGCATTTTATAACAAAGATGTTGTAGGAACCGAATATTTCAACCCATAAGTACAACGTTTTAAGCATTTGCATAATTTGATTTCAGAGTACATACTACGTACAGAAGTTTTACTTCGCGAAGGTATTTAAAAAAATGTAAGCTCAATGTCATTAACAATATGGTGTAATTTAGCCTGTCTCAAGAGTCGAGCACCATTTTGTTGACAAACGTCAGTGATCGGCACTGCGCCGAAGCTATAGGGCTGACTTCGGTAAAATGATGTGACGTGAGGTGCGGAAAATGGCGGAGGAAATACATGATTTAGCATGAATTATCATGAATAATATTAACTACTTATTTACCTTTCAGTGTCTTCACGCAACTTAAAAAAGTATATTCTGTGTTTTTATTATTATTTAGGCAGTTAAATACTGCACAGTATTAAGTTCACCATTTTCTTTATTTTTTTCCATCATACGCGTGCGTGAGTCAATGTTCGCTCGTATGTGAGGCCTTGTCGAATAGTAAACCTGTAGGTGCCATCGTGCTTGTTTTGTTTTCGATGTAAGCTCGCAGAGATGAACAGGCCTGGTTCTACTAATTCAAGAAAACACCAACCAAGTGAAATAAAACCTTACTCCTATTGAATTACAACCCACATTCCAATGATGTACTCACATCTTGTACCGGTTGGCGAGCACGCCCACCAGTTCTCCCAGCAGGTCGGCCCGCGGCGCCACCAGCCCCACCACCAGGTCGTTGTTGGCCGCCGGCACGCTGACCACCACCAGCTGCGCGTCCGAGCTCATCACGCGGACCGCGCCGATCTGACGGTAACGAGTGGACTGTATAAAATTAATTGTCTATTCGGTATAAATTTACAATGATATTGAAACCGTTTAGTGCAAATTCGTTGAAGAGAGTGCGTCAGGATCGTCGTCTTCTATGTTCGCTCGCGAACCGAACATTGCTCGTTCGTTCGCCGAACGCTCGCCGCTCCCTCCGGTCACGCCGCCCGCGGGCAATGTCCGTGAGTAGACAAAAAGTAATAAAAATACAAAAACAATGGAGAAAAGAGGAAAAAAAATGTTGCCAAAGAGGTCACATTTTACTCCCAAGTGCCAAGACACTGGTTTTCAGTGGGTACCTTGTACGCAGAGGCAAAAAGTATGTATAATAATAAATTAAAATTAATTAAAATTCACATTAAAATAAAAATTACAACAAGTTCAGTTTTAGTGCGGTTCAAATCAAATCATTTTGATAACTTAGGAGATCTGCCGTCGAGGCACGATGCACGATATTTGTCCGGGGCACGATACTTGTCCGGGGCACGATGCACGGGTCATTTTTTAAACCCGCATAGCGTTCGTCCTGACTGAGCAGCGGCAAAGAACACACTTTAACCCGCTACGGCGGACCGGGGGTCAGAGGTCTTCCACTTTTGTTTAGCGGCGATTTAAAACCTTACGTTAACTTTGCTATGGGTACTATTTGGTTTCGAATGGTGCTGAACAGAGACTGCCAAGTAACCTAAGGCCTGGTGAAATACTGGGCCCTGACTAAAATCATTCCTTTTATCATTTCATCTTTAGGACATCGACTACTGATATACGCCACTTGTGCATATTATAGACTATTTATGGGCTGAGCGATAGGGTACACAGCATTAGAGTGTTGGGAATCTGACATCTGCAAGAGTGACTCACCTCAGTAATAGGCGTGGGTTTCTTCAGCGGCTTGAAGGTATTGGCATCAAGCTTGAACACAGCGGTCTCGGTTACAAGCAAGCATCGCTCGGCCAGCTTGTTGAAGCGGTTGAACTTGTGCACGCGGCACGAGAACAACGCGCGACCACACTGCTGCGACTTTTGTAGCGTCGTCAGCGCTGATTTGTATAGGGCTGGGGAAAAATAACCTTATTATAAACTTCATTTATTACCACGTCACGTCACGGCCGGTTCACACATGTCTCCGTTTTATCGTGTACGTTTTTTTTTCGTCGATGTATGTATTACTGTATACAGAATACTGTGTCATGTGTGAATTCGCTCATACAACTACATACGCCATCGACGAAAAAAAACGTACACGATAAAACGGAGACATGTGTGAACCGGCCGTAACAGTCACACTGCATAACTGTTTATTAAATGAGCGCTATCGTTTTAGCGCTCATTAGTGTGCTTATTGCGGGTTTGCATTGAACGTAGTCGCTAGCGAGTGCGGCAAAAAAATCTATGAAGATTTTAGTTCTTGAAAGTATCCACCAGGGACGCTGTACAATACATTATTCATTTGATGTCTTTTTTTACGCAGTCGCTAGCGAAGACGTTTGATGTAAATTCGCACTAAGCCCCCAGATGGCGCCATTGTAGAGTAAGGATGCTTTCACTGCTAGTGTCGAAGACTGGCGCCAACTGGTGAACGCTAAAGCGGTAGGAGGACTATCTCATTCGCACTTTGCAGAATGGCGCCACCGTATAGTAGGGTCATTTTAATTGTCAGTGGTGCCATCTGTTAAATAAAAAATTAAAAACGATAGCCCTCATTACCTTAATCAAGGCTCGTGGGCCAGCACTATTTAGATTTTGCTGGCGACTAAGCCTAGGCGCAGACTGCCGACTTTTAGTTAGCCGATAGTAGGGCCCAATTCTAATTTGTATAAAGAATCTGCCGATACCAATGTGCGCACTTTCATACCTGTCCATGGTGATTAAAATCCCAAACCAATTATCGGTGGACAAAAAGTCTGTAGTCTGCGACTAGGCTAATGCTTCAACCACACCAACCGACCTATGACAGTTCACGCGACCTGTCATTGGCCTTTGATCGCGCCGGCGATGGCGATCTGCACGCGTTGGTGTATTTGAAGCTTTACTGTAGATTTTTGATGTACAGGAGTTGCAACGATAGATACAAGAGGTAAAGCCTGGTCCGTGAGCACGTAGAATTTTGTCCAATGACCCCAAGCTACCAATCGTTATCGCTCGCGCGTAATTATATTGCTGTCGCGACTGTGCGACGGGCGCCCGCAGTGAGGGTGCGAGCGCGATAGCAACATAATTACGCGCGAGCGATAAGGATGGGTAGCTTGGGGTCATTGGACAAAATTCTACGTGCTCACGGACCAGGCTTTAGAGGAAGTAGTTTCGTAGTCACTCACCGCACTTGGCGTTGTAGTTGTCGTCTGCTAAGTAGTCGCCCAACCACTGCCGGCCCGCGCCCCATTCTGCTCGTCGACCGCGCAATGCACTCGCCGCGCAAATCTTCATCTGTGGACAACGTTCATTGGTTATGGACTTTAAGATAAGGCTGTAAGGTAGATGGCTGTTAGGGCAGAAAAGTTCTCGAGTGGCGATCACGGATCGGAAGACGCAATGTGGGCAGGCCTCCATTCCAGGATTAATTTCGTTGCGGGTCCAATGGCAGTTTAACTTTCCCCCGGGACAAACTTGACCTTCACTCGTTGGGTTTTTATTGGCGGTCAAGCTGTAGATCCTGGCTACACAGAGTTGCAGCGGTGGGAATGAGAGGTGGGAATAGTCCCGAGGCCTCCATTCAGAATACCGATATCTGATGACGAAGAGCACTTGGATACGAGCAGCACAAGATGTGGAAATACTTGTTTCGACAGAGACCGGTCCTGTGTTGCTTGCATGACCTATTTCCAGGCTAACGATACACTACTCGAAGCTAACGATACACTACTTGAGGCGGAGGCGTGTTCACTGCGTCATCGCTCCACTTACAAAATGCTTGCAATCCGCCAGTGTGGCAGCTCACTTAGCTCAAATGGTAAAGAGGACCTATACCTTCAGTTGTGGCCACTGATCCCTAGGGATAGGCTTGAGCGTGGAATACGCTCTCCAGCGGCGGTAGGCGGCTTGTAACAGCGGCACGTTAAGACGGCGCGGGCAACTGTTTGATGACGCCGCATTCTGCAACTCGGCTTTATATCTCCGTACTCGCTATACCTTTAGGTATAGTCTGGTCTGCGAGCACGTAGAATTTTGTCCAATGACCCCAAGCTACCCATCCTTATTGCTCGCGCGTAATTATGTTGCTGTCGCGATCGCACACTCACTACGAGTGCACGTTGCACAGTCGCGACAGCAACATAATTACGCGCGAGCGATAAGGATGGGTAGCTTGGGGTCATTGGACAAAATTCTACGTGCTCATAGAACGGGCTTTAGGTGTGATGGGAAATGGTAAAAAAGTAACTACCTTGAGCTGTGGCCACTGATCCCTAGGTATGGGTTTGAGCGTGAGGTACGCTCTCCAACGACGGTAGGCAGCCTGTAATAACGGCACGTTAAGCCGACGCGGCGGCGCGGGCCACTGTTTGATGACGCCGCGGTAGCGTTGTAACTGTGTTTGTAGCTCGGCTATGTATCTTCGGACGCGATACCGTCTGAGGAAACAATATTAAATTATTAATTTAAAATTTCAGAAAGAGGCGTTATAATCAATCAGCACAGCATGTAACAAAGGCGTTTGGTAAAAAAGACTAAAGTAATGGATATGATCCAAAATAACACTAAAGCAGCAGTGAGAAGGTGTCATCTATCGCAAAATTACTGAAAACTGGAGTAAATAGTTTTACGACTTAATACTGCACGTCATAAAGCTGAAGTACGACCAACGAGAAGCGATACCAAATGTAAACAAACCTAATGTCATGGGTGAACCCGTCTGACTTTGACATATTTTGGCGGGAGAACGAGACGTTACGACAAATACACAAGATGGGAAGAGACAGAATATATTGTCAACTCGTCAGTCGTATCGATCTTTTGTATCGCTGATAGTTGACCGTACTTTACCATAAATCTGCAAGGGACCAGCGTGGTGACAAATGCTAACTTAGTCATAAAACTAGGATCATAGGATCCACCTCTTTTCTTTTATTATTCAATGAAACAACCTCCAAAACATTCTGAACTTTACACCTTTGTAACAAGGACTATTTTACTCACTTCCAGGCGTTGTATATGGTGAGCGCTGCCTTGAGTTTCCTGTAACGGATGCGCGCGAGCGTGCCGCGCCATAACTTCTGCAGAAGCGTGACAATGGACGGGATAAGTTCCGCTCGGGCCGCTTCTAAGCCGTGGAGGGTCTTCGCCGATCTGTGGAGAAAAGGCGGAATGAAAACAACATCCTTCTATTTTATGACCTCTGCAAATTCCAATAAGAATCAGCCGAAATTATTCCCACCTGTCGCTGCTACCGCTGCACCTCCTGCCAGGATCTACGGCTTGCCAGCCATTAAAAACCCAACCAGTAAAGGTCAAGTTTCTCCCGGGAGAAAGTTTAGAATAAGAATCAGTCGTATTGCCAATAAAAACGCAAAGCGGGAGCTGTTCGAAAGACGCTAAAATTTGAGGATTCTCTTCTTGATGGCTGAGCAATACTGAGCATTGTTCGCGACCTTGTTCCTCATGCTAATAAGATTCATTTTATACTGCTTACCTGATGAACAACTTAGTGTGTCCAAACTGTACGTCTGTTAGTTGCAGGTCTCTTGCTAGCACCATAACAGCATCTCTAGTGCTATCTCCTTTGAAGTTGGACCAGGTGTAATGGCTGAGCATCGTGTAATGGCGTAGGAAGCTGTCATGTTAACAACCTTATTGATATTGTAATAAAGCTCATTTAGCTTACCTAATGAACAGCTTAGTGTGTCCAAACTGTAGATCTGTCAGTTACAGGTCTCTAGCCAGAACCATGACAGCATCTCTAGTGCTGTCCCCTCGGAAGTCGGGCCAGGTGTACTGGCTGAGCATCTTGTAACGGTGCAAGAAGCTGTAACGCTACCGCCCTTATTGCTATTGTAATAAAGCTCATATTGCTTACCTAATGAATAGCTTTGTGTGTCCAAACTGTACATCTGTTAGTTGCAGGTCCCTCGCTAGCACCATAACAGCATCTCTAGTGTTGTCCCCTCTGAAGTTGGGCCAGGTATACTGGCTGAGCATCTTGTAGCGGCGCAGGAACTGTCAAGTTAGCGACCTTATTCCTATACTAATAGAGGTCATTTTGCCTACCTGATAAACAGCTTAGTGTGTCCAAACTGTACATCTGTCAGTTACAGGTCTTTAGCCAGCACCATGACAGCGTCTCATGATTTTGTCTCCGCGGAAGTTGGACCAGGTGTATTGGCTGAGCATCTTTTAACGGTGCAAGAAGCTGTAACGCTACCGCCCTTATTGCTATTGTAATAAAGCTCATATTGCTTACCTGTTGAACAACTTAGTGTGTCCGAACTAGACGTCTGTCAATTTCAGGTCCCTCGCTAGCACCATAACGGTGTCTCGTGATCTGTCTCTGCGGAAGTTGGACCAGGTGTATTGGCTGAGCATCTTGTAGCGCGCAATAAGCGATCATGTTAGTGACTTTATTCATTTTGCTTACCTGATAAACAGCTTAGTATGTCCGAACTGTACATCTGTCAATGGGGATGTTGCCTGGGTAAAAAAGCAAGAGTTTTAATTAGTCCGTCAGTTAACTTATCAAAAAATACTCTACTCGTATTTTTCACTTTTTCAAACTAATGAAAATTTAAAGTGATAAAGCGCCTCAAAGTTCATAAGAAGAGGCCCGTGACGTCAACGCTTGCTTAAAAATGCCGCACGTTGTGACGTCGTGCGCAACTTCAACGCACCATAACTATGTAATTATTTGTTAGATTGACAAATAAAATTATACGTGTCCAATATTTTTTGATATTAAACATTACGGACTAAAAAAATTTTTTTAGGCAACTAGCCTATTGCAGGTCTCTAGCCAGAACCATGACAGCATCTCTAGTGCTGTCCCCTCTGAAGTTAGGCCAGGTGTATTGGCTGAGCATCTTATAACGGTGCAAGAAGCTGTAACACTACCGCCCTTATTGCTATTGCAATAAAGCTCATTTTGCTTACCTGATGAATAACTTGGTGTGTCCAAACTGGACATCAGTGAGCTGTAGATCTCTCGCTAGCACCATGACGGCGTCTCTAGTGCTGTCCCTTCTGAAGTTGGGCCAGTTGTACTGGCTGAGCATCTTGTAGCGGCGTAAGAAGCTGTCATATTACCGACCTTATTCATATTGTAATAATGCTCATTTTGCCTACCTGATAAACAGCTTAGTGTGTCCAAACTGTACATCTGTCTATTTCAGGTCCCTCGCTAGCACCATAACGGTGTCTCGTGATCTGTCTCCGCGGAAGTTGGGCCAGGTGTACTGGCTGAGCATCTTGTAGCGGCGCAGGAGCTGTAACGCTACCGCCCTTATTGATATTGTAATAAAGCTCATTTTGCTTACCTGATGAATAGCTTAGTATGTCCAAACTGTACATCTGTCAATTGCAGGTCTCTATCCAGAACCATGACAGCATCTCTAGTGCTGTCCCCTCGGAAGTCGGGCCAGGTGTACTGGCTGAGCATCTTGTAGCGATGCAGGAAGCTGTAACGCTACCGCCCTTATTGCTATTGTAATAAAGCTCATTTTGCTTACCTAATGAATAGCTTAGTGTGCCCAAACTGAACATCAGTGAGCTGTAGATCCCTCGCTAGCACCATGACAGCATCTCTAGTGTTGTCCCCTCTGAAGTTGGGCCAGGTGTACTGGCTGAGCATCTTGTAGCGGCGCAGGAACTGTCAAATTAGCGACCTTATTCCTATTCTAATAAAACTCATTTTGCTTACCTGATGAACAACTTTGTGTGTCCAAACTGTACATCTGTTAACTGCAGGTCTCTAGCCAGCACCATAACAACGTCTCGTGTGCTATTTCCGTGGAAATAGGGCCAGGTGTACTGGCGTAAGAAGCTGTCATGGTAGCGACCTTATTGCTATTGTAATAAAGCTCATTTAGCATACCTGATAAACAGCTTAGTGTGTCCAAACTGGACATCAGTGAGCTGTAGATCCCTCGCTAGCACCATAACAGCATCTCTAGTGTTGTCCCCCCTGAAGTTGGGCCAGGTGTACTGGCTGAGCATCTTGTACCGGCGCAGGAAGCGGTCGTAGCGTTGCCGGGAAGCGAACCCGGCGCGGCGCACGCGCACGTTCTCTACTAAGCCTAGGTAGGCTACTTGGTGGCGGACCTGCGGCCAGAATTTATTTATTATTAATTCAATTAAGATAGTAAATACAAAATTACATTACAAACTATAGTCCGTTCGCTGAACAGATAGAATTTCGTCCAATGACCCCAAGCTACCCATCCTTATCGCTTGCGCGTAATTATATTGCTGCCGCGCTCGCACAGTCGATGGGTAGCTTGGGGTCATTGGACGAACTTAAATCTGCTCGGCGACCGGACTTTAGACCATACCGAATACTGAGTGTTTTAGTACTTGCATCACATATTATTATCATGATTTCTTTCACTCCCTCTTTTTGGAAGCATTTACGTTGATGGAAGGAAGGTACAAATTGGCTCTACAGTTGGCGACGATTCTAGATGTAAAGCGTCTAGCATGCGATTCAGTTCGATATCTTAGGACATATTGAGAATCAATAAATCACAGCCATCAATTTCTACGTCAGTAAAATAAGGTGCATATTCGCTGATCATCCCAGGTGTTAGGGACAACCAAAGACCAATTCTTTCACAACTACACAATAGCACAAACATTGAACTCTACACTATTGTAATAAGGTGCATATTACCAGCTGGTCGTCCCATGTGTTGGGCGCCTGCAACGGGTTGGGTTTGACGCAGCGCACGTAGAAGGGTTCTTTACTCTGCAGTCCGGTTACTAATGCAGCCATTGAGTTGCGGAACAACGTAGCAGCTGACGGCGGTCGTTTTGATGTCTGAAAACCACAGAAAAGTATAAGTCACGTCACAAGTGTAAACTGTTCAACATTCACTACTTAGTATAAGGCTGATAAATGGAATACATTTATCATTGACACCAGAGACTCGACCCTCTGCCAGTTCAGCAAGTATAGATAAATCACTTGGCTTCCAGCCAAAATCCATGTAGATAGATCACTTGGCTTTCACTGTATGGATTTTTATTGACAGTCAAGCTGATCCTGGATTCGCAGGAAATGCAGCGGTCAGAACGAGTTGAGAATGGTCCCGTATCCAGGTGCTGCCAGGTGCCTAGCGGTCATCGCTCCATTGAGCAGGGACACAGGGAGTCCTATGTTTAGTAATGCTAAGTAAATAGATATGAAAGCGTCAAGCAGGAAATCCTTTTTTTCCGTCGGGAAATGCTTTGCGCATGCCCACTGGCTGATGGGGACAGTCAGTCGGTGTGTTACGTGGGACGCCGGGAGGGCGGGGCCTACCCACTAAAACCCGACGGTGTCCTCCAGGGCCATTGATACGAAGCCGCGAGTTGTTGTCCTATTGGACATTCGCCCTCGGCTCCGTCTCAGGCTACAGCTCGCTCTTGGGCGAGCCTCTCCAGCTTCGAGGGGAATAGTGATTCCCCTCGGCTCGTCCGCTAACGGCGCACTGGACACTGGTGCGCCGGCGCCACGGGTTCAAGCAGGAAGTTCTAAGCTACGTTAACCATGATGTATACCTTCTGTATGTTGGTGCCGCCCTCAGGCCACATGTCGGCGAGTGATCTATTTGTCGAGGAGTGTAGCAGCCGCTTGAGGTCCTGCCACAGCGAGTCCTTGTTCTTGTCCATGAAGCCCGTGATGGCATACGTCACATCGCCGGCATAGTGCCTGGGAATTATAAAGGTTAAAACTATAATGAAGTTAATTTAGGCATGTGTTGAGTCAACGAGCTGTCATTGGAAAGAAAGACAATAAACATAGTTTGAAATGGTGAGCAAGAGTGAAATGAAATGAAATAAGTTTATTCAGTACATAAGCTCTTTCCAAGGCACTTTCTTTTCTTTCATCTATAATAATATTATAAAGCTGAAGTTAGTTTGTTTGTTACTTAAACGCGCTAATCTCAAGAACTACTGGTCCGATTTGAAAAATAATTTCTGTGTTAGATATCCCATTTATCGATTAAGGCTATATACCATTACGCTACGAGTAATAGGTGCAGAGCAAAAAATATTTTCACGATTTTTTGATGCAAGCCATATTGTACGAATCACGCATATACGTGACTATCCCCCGCCCGTGGCTTCGTCCGTGTGGACTAGAATGGCTCATTGGATCCCAGATCTATCCTTAGGAATTTTAGACATTATTTTTTAGCAGATGTCTTCGCGCGAGCTTTCTGTATCCCTCAGCGTAATCCGTTCAGTAGTTAGAGCTATGTTGATAGAACACTTCAGTCTATCTGCTGCCTTAAGCCTTGTATCCTCTTGAGCATGCTCAGACGAATGCAATGGTTATGTCGCAGGCAAATTGTATGATTCCACATTTTACAAACGGCGTCGTCAGTTCACAAACGCTCGCTGCTCTATGAAATGCCGAAGGCAAAATGTAAATTGCCTGGGCACTTTATAATATGCCAAAACATTTGATAGCCAATTCAATTGCTGTTTACAAAATGCCGCGGCAAACTGAAGTATTTAGTTCTTTTTCTTACCACGCGAGGCGCTGCTAATCAAAACAAGAAAAATGGCGTCGAGTCGTGGTGTTGTGATACAGAAAACAGTGCAAATTCTACGTATTCAAAGGACTTTTCACAAAAAAAGACATTTATTATACTTAGTGAATTAAAAATATTTTACGATTCACAAATAGGAGCAGTGAAAAAGCTATGGAAAAATGAAATAGTTTTTGAGGTTATCCGGCACGTAAAAACGCTAAGGTGACAATGGAATCTGGTGCTCGGACTGGTGGAGGACTGCTGCGGAATATTATTGGTTTTAAAAAATATTGTGTTGTCTTCTAGACTTCTTCTAGGTATAATTAGAATGTAAGACTTAATTAAAGGACTGACTATCGAAACTTATGTCATAGCCTACCTATAGGTACGTCAATAGTTTAAATTAGTTTAGTGTTGTTTTTATTACGAAAATATTTTAATTACTTTAGGAGTAGCTAGTATTTTAGGTTTATCTTACCTGAATAGATACCTACCTGATTTCTGAAATTAAGTCTGATTTGTCTAACATGTGTTTTATGATGGTCACCCTATTGCAACAATCATAGTCGAAATTTTATCAATTGAACGAGTCGCCAATTTGCCTTCGGCATTTCATAGAACAGCGAGCGTTTTTAAACTGACGACGCCGTTTGTAAAATGCGGAATCATACAATTTGCCTGCGACAGTTACAGGGCTTTCCTTACATGTACCACAAAAGCAAATCTGTAACAGAAAACTCACGTAATCCTAAAGTCGACGCCATGCTTGAGCTTCTTGTCGGCGGGCGCGAGCTGTCGCGATGTGTAGTGCTTGTGTCCACTCAGGCGCTTGTCCATAGCTTCCAGCAGTTGCTTGTCCGATATCTGCAGACGATTATCATCTTTAGTTACATGGTAAATAAGAGACACATTTGAATAAAACTATAAATTTTTTTGGCGAGTCTCAGCCTCATAAAGGACCAGTATGTGTTGCCAGTGATGACATACGGAATTGAGACGCCGCTTAATGTAGACCTTATAAAAAGGCTCAAGGTGATCGCCCAAATGGCTATAGAGCTTGCTATGCTCGGAGTTTTCCTGCGTGATTGAATCAGTAATGAAGACATTCGCAAGGAAACCAAAGCAACTGACATAGCCCCAGAATAGCCAAACTTAAGTAGCAGTGGGCGGGGTTCAGGGCTCGTAGAACTGATGGCCATTGGGGCAGAAAAAACTGGCCGAAAGACATAGTGTGGACAGGCCTCCCACTAGGTGGACCGACGATCCGGTGAAGGTCACGGAAGGCACCTAGATGGTATCCACAAGTAGATGCTGAAACGAACGAATGTCGGTTTTTTTTTATACAGTCCGGGTGCGGTTTCTAGCAAATTCTCCGGTTAGACAAGACCTGTAGGCCTAGGATGCGCGGCGCGATAAGCGGTTATCACGCCATTTTATCGATTTCACCCATACATTTTGATCGATAAAGTATATCACGGTGCGCATCCTAGCCCGGTTGGATTGGTCTATAAGGGTGTATATCGCGTGTACCTTGGTGGGATTAAGGCAAGCCTCGTCCATGATGGCGATGACGCCTTGATGCGGCGCGTCCACGAGCTCGCAGATGACGCGGTTGTTGAAGTACGTCACGGGCGTCCACGTGATGCCCTCGCGCGCGTATTCCTCCTGTTCTTGTTTTAGGACCAGTTCTGGAAGGGAAAGACTTCTTAAACACACCTAATTATACAGTTATAATGCGACAATTTATAGCCCAACAGAGTGGGTATCAGACTGTCTGATCCCACCAAAAACATTCTGTAAAAAACTTGCCAAGTCTCGATGGAGCTGCTTGTTTATCTCTACAAAATAATGAAATCTAGACAAAGTCGTGCCAAGTCTATAGTCCCTTACTGCGATTTCTTTATAATTCTAGTTTATGTTGTGTGACTTGCGAGATTTGAAGTACGAAGAATGCAGATACAAACTCCCTCGACCGCTGGACTAAAGAGTACATGCCTCCATCAATCATACTACTTATTAGGTAGCGCTCAATAGTTGGCACCACAGGCGAATAGCAGGGTCGTCAACGTCACAAAATATAGCTGCCCTACAACCACTTCTGGACAACAAGAAAAAGTGGTGGCAGAAACCCAGTTCCCTCTGTCAATCTCATCATCACCAAATAATAAAACTCTAAATATGTGGGAACAAATCAGGTAGAATCCATGCAATCTTGTCATTTAAATAGTTAATCTTGGGCTTGTCGCAATCGATTTCTGCTAATGACATTTCGCTACTCGTTATCACTCTCCCTATTTAGATGATAATGTTCTCAAGGTTCCCCCTTATTTTGCCAAATGAGTGTGGGTCTGTGACTCACCAATGAACAGCTGCTGCAGCTTCTCGTTGCAGTAGTTGATGCAGAACTGCTCGAAGCTGTTGGTGTCGAAGATCTCGAAGCCGTAGATGTCCAGAACACCGATGAGTGTGTTCTTGTACGTGCCTGACGGAACGTCGATCGCTTTGTTGATCTGGGGACAAAATTATTTGCTTAATTACTTTTAATGAACTGACAAATAAATAATTTTGACGAGAGCAGTCTTTCAGCCAACTCTCACTTAGCTGCACTCCTGCATTTACATATGGCTTTTGACATTGATCCAAGTGCTACTGCTGATATCACGGCTTCAAAAATTCGACTAAAAATGCTCGCAGTGTGTAGCTGACACATAAACACATCCGCTGAAGTAGTGGTTGGCGGAACGCTAAAACTACTATCTACTATTTTCGCGACATGTTGCGGGACTTAAATCTTGGTAGAAGTGTTCATAAAGATGAAATTTATTAACCAGGAGGAGGATATCCTCCGACACTCTTAGAGCAAACACATACTGGCGGAGAGAGACCCACTGATGGTTAGATGACCGTATGGAGTCTCTTTAACTCACCTGTTGTACTATCCACGTGAACAGCCTGTCATAAGCCGCCTTAGCCAGCGCTAGCCTAGTGTAGTTAGCGTCAGACAGGCTGTGTTCCTTGCTGACCAGCTCGCCGCCGGCTGACAGCACGCGGCCCGCCATGGCAGTGCGGAGAGCGTCCTCGGATACTCCTAGAGCGGAGACACACTGGCGGAGAGGACCGCCGATGGTGAGCTGACCGTCTGGCGTCTCTGCGAAAGTTAGCTCGCCCTGAAAAGATAAAGTGAATTACAATACCGTTGTAAATCTTTTTAGGTACATTTATTGCGATATTTGCAGGAGACACTGCAGTCTTTAGTAATGACGAAGGCCACGAATTATGTATGTTTGTTAAGCGACATAAGGCTTCTGAAATTCTTTTATTAATATGTCAATGTTGTCATGCTTTAAATAAAGAAATCCCAGGAAGAGAAACCCCAATCATAACACAATAAACGACCATATGGGTCAAAATGATCACCCAACACCCATCCATCAACGACCACAGCGTGGGTTTCTTGACTTTGGTGACCATCATCAAAGCACTATTTCTATTGAGCTACGATCTTTCGCCTGCAGTTCACCAACTTACCAGCAATATAACTCCAGCGACAATATTCCAGATGTCATCGACGACGGACGACGCGAAGCCCAGGGCAGAAAAGGCACTATTCGTGACGGAATAGAGCTTAGAATCCTGCGCGGTCGCTCGCTCGCTGCCGAGGATCTTGTACACTGCGCTCGAATTCAGCCCGAACTTCTTTGTGTGGTTGTTGTTTGTACTTAATAACTGGGAAACAAAAAGTTTAGAAAAGTTTATTTTTAGTGTTTTGGCACCGTATGTATACTTGATCGTAATAAAGGTTTAAAAATTTACTGCCAGGTGGATTCATTCTTAAAAAATCATTTTATATTTCTGCTATCTACCCTTTTATTTCTAGCCATAAACTCGTTTTATATTAGAGCTTTATAAAACGGCGTCTAATTTTGAATTTAAAATATTTTTTTATGCATTATAAAATTGCTTTCTTGAATGGGTTTGCTAACGCGCATATCTACTTTATAAAAATAAGTCGGGTTTTCCTCCCTGACGCTATAACTCCAGAACGCACGAACCGATTTCAACGGTTTTGCATTCGTTGGAAAGGTCTCGGGCTCCGTGAGGTTAATAGCAAAGAAAATTCGGGAAAAGGGGGTAAAACGGGATCCACGCGTACGAAGTCACGGGCGGCCGCTAGTAGTGAATATAAATTCCTTTGTCAGCTAGACAAAACCAAATCGAAGAGTATCAGTTTACCAACCACATTGGTTACTTCACAATTGAACCAGCGGTTCTCGGTCAATAATTATAACCACAAGTAGGCCATTAGTCACAGTTTATAGCCCTAGCAAATAATCCATAGACATACTGTCAGTGTCTATTGTTAAACGTGATTTAATGCCTACCTATTGTCTAGTTTACTACTACTTAAGTGACTAAAGTAATACAAATTTTTCCATGCTTGTTTAAATACATCCAAGACTATCGATTACATACAGCAAATACTATTCACAGAATCGTTACATATACGGAACACTAGTAAACGGTACCTACTTAACCAAACGACAGGCCAACCAGGGGCTATATGACTTAATAGTAACTATTACTTCTTAACGGCGTTTCCGTATATCTCTCAACCAGTCAGCCAATTCCTCTGATACGGGAAATCGTCAGGCATTGGATCCACAATTTTCCCACGAAAAGATGGAATTCCTTTGCTATTGGTTCATTCCTAATTAGTCTACAGTTACTTACTATCTTTGCTACTGGTTTCTTATTGGTCCACAGTTTCTTACTCAAACACTTCTACATAGATGGGACCAAAACGGCATATTTATCTTAACTTTATTTTTTTACTCTGTATGTTTTGTCCGCTAGAGGGCGCCACATTAGATTTTGTGAAACCCCATATAGCCTATAACTAGCGGACAATTAAAACGCTTCTAATGATATGTCATTAGTCGAATTCTGATAAGTAGTTTAGAAGTTACGTGGGAACCGATGAACATACATACATACATACATAGCCTGTCAAAATCATAACCCTCCTTTTGCTTTGCCGTAGTCGGGTAAAATCGGATCACCCTCAAAATATTTTATTTCTATGCCACCACTACAACTAGAGAATAGCTAGATGGAGACGATGGAGCACACAATATTGAGCTGTAGGCTCTAGGGAGGCAAAATGAGACTAGATCTGGCAGAGTGGAGTCTGTGAAAATCGACGAAAATAATTCAGAATCTATAGTATTAGTATACGACGCCGCCGTTATAAATTTATAGCCAGTTCCGGGTACTATTCTATTCCAAGCCTAAAATATTGTATAAAGAGCGGAGCATCGGCGCACGCGCCGTTGTTGACATTAGGCTAGCTGTTTGGCTTGACGGCTGGCTTCCCGCCGCGTTGTTTGTAAACTCGCCCACCGCGCGTATTGTTTCGCTATCTGATGCCCTACTACTGAATTTGACAGAGTGAATTGATGCCCTAGTAGTTAGAGATGGACCTGTCATTATGCAATCTTAACGTGAGTGATTTACGGGACTATTCCCACCTTTCGTTCCCTCCGCTGCAACTCCTGTGTAGCCAGGATAACTACATCTTTATATTTCTTTGCCTGACCTTTCCCCATTTTATCTGGGGTCGGCCCTCCATATCACGCGTCTCCAGCTCGGCAGCTCGATCCTTGGTCGTCTCTACAACTTAATCGCCAATAAAAAAAAACTAAACCAGTGAAACCAGGTTTGTTCTGAGGGGTATCATTTTGTCGAATCAATGTTCTCAAGTGAGATAACAGTTTTGGAATAAGTATACCTCCTAACATCGTATAAAGTTTCGTACAATTCATCATCTAATGTCTCAGTTCATTCAACTTTATATGGCTACAAAAATTACGGTATTCTTTATGAAATTGACTGGCATATGAAGGGCGGAGCCGCTATTTGATCCATAAATTGTGTTTATGGCATTATGGCAGGATATTAGCGGCCGCTAGCGTGACCGCGCGCAATCAGCGTTGCGACAGGGCAACCCGCGCTTCAATACATGTCCGAAATTATGAATACTAAAGAGCTTATTTCTATAACGTTGCGTGAAACGATATGCAAGAGCAATTATACTTAGTCCAGTTAGGCTCTTCTACAATATGAATAGAATACTTACACTTTATATTTCTTATCAAACTTAACGCGATCATATTGTTATGAATTAGCTTGTTATAATCAATTACAATTTTCATTATCATTTTGTATTGTTCGAACAGTATTCGCTGTTATCGCCACATTTGATGTAAATCTGATAACAATTAACACATTAATACAGCAATGGTCTTCTAGGATCGATAATTCAGCAACGCTCGTTTGTGCAACCAATTTACGATTAAATTTATTAAGTTACGACGATACTCAGCCAAACCATGGAAAGTTACTACTGCACTACCAACATTATTATTAATATCTACTACAACAAATTAATGTAGATAGCACGATTTTTATGCAAATGCGCCTGTACTGTGTAATTTATTCATCATTAAAGGTGTTCAGTCGATTGAAGGTCACATTCACAACAATGGGTATTTCTTTCAGTAAATAATTGTAACTGTCTTTAAATACACCTGATAGTTAGTTTGTACTCGTAGTTGGATCGATATTTTGGATCTTAATTGCAGACTGTAAGCCATACTTTAAGGTTTCTGATGAAACAGCGATCGTTATGGAGGAAGTCGAACAAACTTCTACGTTTTTCTGATTAATTTGGTTGCGGATTCAATGACAGTTAAACTTTACTCTGGGACTAACTTGTCCTTCACTGGTCGGGTTTATATTGGCGGCGGTCAAGTTGTAGATCCTGGCTAAACAGGAGTTGCAGCGATGGGAACTAAGAAGTTTTTTCTGACCGGTTGGTAGCGGCTTGCATCCATCGCCTTTCTGCTACCTTTATGAAGTCGGTCCACATTATGAAAATTGATCGGGAGGCCTATTTTTAGCAGTGGACGTCCTCATTATGGAAATCAGCATACATCAAGACCGCCAGGGCTTGTCTCGAAACTGATTTTCAGCGGGGGCCCTCTGTTGTCACGGCGCACTCCTGCTGACGGAGATGCAAGAGGAGAAAGGAGACCACAAGTCCGGCAGCAGGGAGAACGCAATGTACGTACAGGAATAGGAACAGAAAACAAGGCAAACATAAAGAAGTAAAACAAAAAAGACGATGGTTTCGTTACCTGATAAAAAGCGTGGAAGTTCCTCTCTCCAGGCTGCAGGCTGACCACCCGACTTTTCTCAAGCAGGTAATTGCTGATGTGTCCGCCCACCGGGTCTCCCTTGTAGTCGAAGTGGATGTCCATGTACTTGCCGAAGCGTGAGGAGTTGTCGTTGCGGTTCGTTTTCGCGTTGCCGAACGTTTCGAGGATGGAATTTGATTGGATTAGCACGTTTTTTACTCTGGAATAGGAGAATAATAATAATTAGTAAAATATATTACCACTTTTTCGGTTCCGGTAACCCCTAGTGGTAAGCTAAATATGCTTTTATTATTAGTGGGTTCACCAGAATAATCCAGCGAAAGGGTTCGAACCAGTGTTCCACGGATCTCGCGTCGGCCAGTCCCAACCCAACCTACATCGTGGGGCTTTTTGTGTAATATCCTATATTGAGTTTTCTATCTCGGGGTGTATTTTTACGTAAAAACCTCGGTACACTTCCTATTCCATCCAATATGCTTAATTGAAACACGTAATAATACGCAGATGCAGCTAAGAAACCCCGCAGTAATGTGACATAACAAGACATCATCTCATAATACAAGAATCTCTAAGCTACGAGTATGTATTGTTCAAGTTCGATTCAAGATCGTGTTAGCTTCTCCACGATCAAAATAAAGTGTCAAGCAAAAGATAAAAACTTGTTAAAGCTTTAACTTAGGCAAGTTACGTAGACCCTTCACACTTGTGACTTGTTTGTAGGAGCGCATTGCATAGTCAATAATAGGCTGGCTGAAAAATTAGGAGTTTCACTGATCTTCAGATCAGTAGTGGTTTGAAACCGACAGACGAAACTTCCCCCTTTGAAAGGGGTGTAAAACAAATTCATGAATCTTACCTGTCGATGTATTCTCTGTGAACTTGTGTAGTGTTGGCGGCGATGTACTTCATGATGAACTTCGAGGCCTCTGTCTTGCCCGACCCTGACTCTCCGGAGATCAGCACGCATGTGTCTCGGCCCTGTGGATTTGTTCATGGTTAGTAACACTTCAAACACCATATACTTTATGTATTATTACATCTAGAAACATAGCATCATAGCGGGCGACGTGGAAATCATTGGCGAAGGTCTATGTTCAGCAGTGGACGTTCTGTGGCTGAAATGATAATGATGATGACGATGAAACATAGCGTCTCATAATAGGTTAAAAAGTAAGTATGTACCGTAGAAAAACCCCACCTACACGTGAAAGAAATATAACTTTTATTGGGTGGTTGAACGTGTTGTGATATTAACTGTTAACCTGAAGAAGGTTTATACCAGTAAAAAAGGCTGAAAAGACTACCTATTGTTTCATGAAGCACCGTGTCAGCAGTATACGAGTATGAATGAAAAACTGTCCTGTACATTTGTTCTTCAAACCAATCAACTTTAGTATTAGTTACGGCAGAATCACGGGTGGTCTCCGCCAACAGGCAGTGATAAACCAAGCTTTACGACGGGACTCGCGCCATTTGCGCTCACGCAACACGACGACTCAAAACAATGGGAACGAACGGTAATAACACGTTACTGTCATATCCAGAACCATACTTGATGTTTTAGGGTGACTGATGGATGCTGTTTTGAAAACGGAGGTACTTAGTTATGGAGAGAAACAGAATTGACTACGCGCTCCTAATCACGTAAGTTCTCAGGAACTTAGGCCCAGTTTCCACAAAGACGGAGAGGAGACGAGATGTGTTTTGAATAATCAATCAGATTTCGTTATTTAGGCATCTCCTCTCCTTTCACTTTGGGGAAATAACCTGCCAGGTTTGCCGCTCATCTCCTCTCACCTCATCTTTTCTCCACTTTAGGGAAACCAGGCTTGACAGCTAATTTAATGGCCAGTCTTCGGTCACCAACTCCACCTTCGGCCTGATCATCACTTACCATCAGGTGAGATACAGGCCAAGAGCTTCCTCGTTGTGGATTAAAAAAAAGTACCGCACAATGATTTACGCGTACCTGAAGTAAAATCAATTTCTGTAACGGAACTATTCCCACTGCTGCAACTCCTGTGTAGCCATGGCCTTGATCTACAGCTTAACCGGCAATAAAAACCCAACCGATGAAGGTCAAGTTTGTCTCAAGGGTGTTTTGAAGCGAAACAGAATTGACCACCCATCCCTAAGCCTAGGCGCAGACCACCGATTTTTTATCGGCCGATAGTTTAGTCGGGCATTTAATCAGTATGGACATGTAAGAAATTGCGCACACTATAGGTACCGATTTGGTATCGGCCGATTCCTCATACCAATTAGAATCGGGCTCAACTATCGGCCAACTAAAAGTCGGTGGTCTGCGGTTAGGCTAAAGGTGCAAGACCTCAGGACCTGACTGCTAATTTAACGATTAGTCTTCGGTCGTCAAGTTACTACACAAGTGCATAGTGATTTACACGTAGAAGTAAAATCAATTACTGTAAGTGACACTTGGGGTTACAGCAGTCCTTTATAACCGCACCGAACTGCCGAAGGGTTATTTATAACGGCAATAAACATTGATGACTTGCCCGCAGGACTTACGGTCTGTTAATTATTTATTTTAAGAGATACCGCCTCAAAGTGAACTCTTGATCAGCCAGCGATGTATTGTCGTATTAAAATTAAAGTAACGTCGTGCTAGATTTATGTAATGTTTGAAATAATAGCGTTCATGCGTGATAGATAACATTTTGTAGTAGTAACATGACGTGCAAAAAAAAGGGTTTTCAAACTATATGTCGTAGAGATAGTCCCTGTATCTATGCGTCACCCTGAGGCGTCACCAAACAATTGTTTTTAACTTATCTTCTTATCTTGCTACAAGAATTTACTGCACCTTAGTGGGTTCGGCGACAGATACTAGCTTACCCGCTGCCACTTTTACTAAAGCAAAATTTTTGGATAGGTGATTAAATCTACCTCCTACTTGATTACGATCTGTAGGCCTAGGATGCGCGCTGCGATAAATGGTTATCGCGCCATTTTATCGATTTTGCCCATACATTTTGACGTCTAAAATTATCGATAATAAGAGCATAATATCACATCGCGCATCCTAGCCCGGCTGGTCACGGTACCTGGATGCGGGTAGCACAGGACCGGTCGATGTAGAAGGAAATCCTTGGGGGAGGAGGCTTCAATACTCAATACCTTTTTGCGGCGGCTTGTCCAGCAGTAGACGTTTGAAATTTGGCTGAAACGAACGATTAAATCTATTGGGATCCTGACCTGTTGCCTGAGCACCCTCTGGCAGGCATCAGCCACGGAGTACACGTGGGGCGGGACCTCGAACATCTCCCGGCCGCGGTACTGGGCCATGTGCTGCGGCCCATAGATGTCCAGGTTTCTGTACGGGTTCACCGACACCAGCACCTCGCCGATGTATGTGTAGATTTTGTTGTGTTGGAACCTGGGGACAACGAGAGAACTCAATTAGTTTCATATAATTACTTTGTATGTAATGTTGTTGGTATGCCTCAATAAATAAATAAATTAGTTTTGCAATGTAGGAGGCGACAATAGCGGAAAGATGTAGTTGACGGATTGGCCGACTAGATTTCCGAGGAACGCTGGTTCGAATCCTATCATTCTTTGGACTATTTGTAGTGAACCCACTCCAAACACAAGCTGTAGGGGTTATAGCACAGGTTAGTGACTTCAAAAAAATTGTCTGATTTTGCTGGTAACTGCTGGTAACTGGTAGCTGGCCCGACGGATTAGCAAGCTGAAATAGCAATGGGCAGGGCACATAGTACGCAGAACTGACGGCCGATGGGGCAACAAGCTTCTGGAATGGAGGCCGCGTACCGGAAAACGCAGCGTGTGACGTCCACCTACAAGGTGGACCGACGACATCGTAAAGGTAGCAGGGAAGCACTGGACGCAGGCCGCTACCAATCGATCAACGTGGAAAGCATTAGGGGAGGCCTATGATCAGCAGTGGACGTCCTATGGCTGAAATGATGATAAATAATGATGGTAACTGACTCCGCTATAAAAACAGCGCGATAGGAGCTTTTGGGCAGCTTCATTTCGTAGAACAGAGTAGGTAATAATAACAGTTTATTTATATGCACGATGAACTAATAGAGACGTTTATACTCTTGAGTATATTTGGAAACAAAGTAGTTTGAAATACGTAATCCCTTTTAGTCACTATGACGTCATGTACTAGTAATTCTTACAACTAATTTTACGGCGATGACGGAGGAACTCCTACTGCACTTCGCATTTTGTATTTTCGGAAGCAAATTCATTTCTGCATGAAAGTAAAGACAGCTTTAAATACGTCAGAGCTTTGACGTATGTAGAAAATATTCCTCGAGTTGAGCTGTAGCAAACAAATTAAGATTCGGAATTTTATTATTAGTTATAGTATTTTTCCTTTATTTTGGGAAAATTATCAACCAGCAGTACATAACCAGAACCATGATGTTACAAAAATGATTTTAACAAATCTACCTTAATGAAAACAACAAATTCTTTGAAATCTTCATACAGTCGAAGAAAGCCTTAACTAAAGCTAAAAGCTCTATAAATCATTTGCATTATGATGATATCAATACTTGACCTAACTTTACTCCAAAAAAAATGCTTTTAACATTCTGACACTGGCACTCTGCGATCTACAATCCTACTAACACCTATGCATTTTCTCGTCTTAAAGTTCTTCGTCAACTCTACCAATGATGAATTAGTATTCGGCGTCATTCCTACACGATTTAGTAAACCAAACAATGCTAGATCAACCGTGAGAGTGACGTAACACGGAGCTATGCGCACAAATAAACCAAACGCATACTTTAGGTCCGCGATGACAGCTACGGGCACGGATTGCATTGCGCCTTGCGCCCGCGCAACGCGACGCGATGAAAATCGAAGCAATACCGGTCGTAGTCACGATTTCGTATAGGTATTCATGTCAGGGTCTGCAATCTAGGAAAGATGGAAGATATTTTCGTAATGACTGGTTCCTGATTGTCCAGGAACAGGCACTTGTGTTTGGCTTTTGTTCCGAAAACCCGTTTTACATTTTGTAGACATCTTTATAGATATACCAGAAAAGGTGAGATCTAAGCAAACAATACTTGGCGATAAAGTAAACACGTGAAGTGCATTTTGTATATTACGAAACGTTGTTTCCTCTATCTATTCACCATCAAATCTTGATCTCTCAATTTGAAATCTTATACAATATCTGAGATAGGAGCTGTACTAAAATAGGACATACCTAGTTATTGCAATAATTATTATCGTGTAAAGTACGGCCACGGTAATACTATCTATACAGTATTCCAACTCGGCCATATTTTTGAAATAAATGTCAACAGCCGCGCGGTACGTCACGGTATGACAACATGCAATAGGGCTGCCCACCTGCAGACCCTATTTTCATTACATCTGCCTACTTAGAATTTTTATCTAGTTTTGTGAATGTATTTTGTGATTGTATTTTTTTATTTTATTTTGACAAACAAAATAACTTACTGAATGAAATAGGATAAAATGCATGTTGTTTTGTGATTAGTAGATTTAATTAAAAATTATGTTTGTGTTAAGATTTAGTAATAAATCTTATAAAGCGACCGTAAAATGTATGTGCCTCGACTGAGGCGTACAGAATTCTTGATTAATACAGGGTGTTAGGTAAATGGGTTTATAAGCCGACACTAGCCCATGTTAACATGTGCATATAAATGGTATACTTAGTGAAGTCAGAAAATTGAAATCATCATTTTAATAATTTTAATTTTCATACAAATCTGATTTTATAAATTTTATTTTGTATGAAAATTAAACAAATTAAAATGATATCACTGACTTCACCATACCATTTATATGCATAATATGTTAACATGGGCTAGTGTCAGCTTATAAACCTATTTACCTAACACCCTGTATAAATAGGTAGTTGTACCTAATTATTTTTATAAAAAAAGAGCGCTTACTGTTTCAAAAACAACACATCCGTTTATTACCGTGGCACATTCGCGACACCCCCGACTTTTGCATGTCGAGCGCATACCGAGATTTGAATTTCGAAGGAAAGCTCGCGTTTCGTCCGTTTATATGAAGTTACAATACTGTATGATAGTATTACCGTGGTACGGCCAACTAGCGGCGATACAAAAGGTCGATAAGACTATCGAGTTGACAATATATTCTGTCTCTTCCCATCTTGTGTATTTGTCGTAATGTCTCGTTCTCCCGCCAAAATATGTCAAAGTCAGATGGGTTCACCCATGACATTGGGTTTGTTTACATTTGGTATCGCTTCTCGTTGGCCGTACTTTAGGTATTACGCAGGTGCTGATTTTCTTTCTAAGTGTTTTCTTTTCTCTAGCATATTTCCAGGGCCTATAATTAGAAAAAACATCAACACGTTTGCACTCGAGAGAAGCCAAGTATGAAATCTAGTGATTTGTAACGCTTCATCTTGCCCATTAAGCTGGGCACGGCTGGCTGCCCGCACTGTTCTGCACAATCAGCCCATTAGACGGATTTAATTCGTCACTTCATCACTGTTTGGGTTTGTATTGTGTCGAGTGAGATGTTATTGTTGACAAGTTAATCGTTTCGGAGACCGACTTAGTTTTTTTGGGAATTAATAGGCGTGTCCGAAAATTTGGCGTCGTTAAACTTCTTAACAATTAGAGAAATAGTGAGCTATTTCACATAATAGTTAGTTTGATGGTACGGAAAGATGCTCTGTTGGGAACTGATCAGGAAAACTATAGCTCTATGAGCTCTCTGAAGCAGAATCAAGGGCGTCTTCGAAGCTATTCCCCAGACACATGAACAATATAAGAAGGATTGACAAATAGCTTTCTAGCTGCTAATTATTGCCAAATAAGAACCCATCTTATCTCCATGGACTAAGGTGTAAGAATAGCATAACAATATGAAGGTATGCATGAATATTAATACAAAACAGGCAAAATACATATTAATTTCTTTGCTCACATTGTTACATCAAACAAAGAGTGTTGTTTTGAAACTGAAAGTGTAATTAGAGGTGTTATTTAAAACGAAGCAGCAATTAATTAATATAAATGAGGCGTCAATCACAAAGTAGGTAATTTAATACAATTACGCACTGTGCGTAAAAAACTTGCATTGTAAATTAGATCAATTCAAACATTTCTTGGAATAATTCTAACTATCTTGTATAATTAATTTAACTAGGTAATATTTTAAATTAATTTACAGAATCCCTTCAACTGCACTATACAAACATAGATAGCTACAACCTCCGCTTCATTGCATAGGACGCTAAAGCCATGTCTGTCCAGCTACAATTTTATCTTCGAATGTTATTGCAAAACAAGTAACACGTGTAATCAGCGTGCAAAAGCTGTATAAAACATCATCACGAGCCAAAAAAGCATAACTCATCCACCACGGAGTCAGTGACCGAATCTCGCGCGAAGCACGACCGTAACGAAACGAAAACGACCAAAATAGTCGTCCGAAATCAATCGTACGCGCCGAAAGCTGCGCGCGCGCATAAAACGGACCATAATGCATTCGGCGGTATGTCATTCTTTTGTCGAAGCAGTCGTAAAGCTTGGAGAATTTTCTCGTGAAGAGGCCGTGAAAATTAGGTATTGTTTACAACAAAATCGTGTTAAAAAGAAAGTAAGATAATACAGACAGATGATGACGAAGATGCCAGCTATACAAAATAATATAGCTACTTTTATTTTAATCTTTAACAAAAACACTATATCCTTTTGCTGTCAGGTAACATGCTCTACTCAGATTTTCGCAAAAAAACTAATATTATAATCGCAACATGATTTTGACAGCCTGATACAAATTAACGGGCTGTCTTGTACATACTTATAGGACCAAAAAACTCAACCAGAGGCGAGCGGCGACTGCATTAATAAAAACATCATGACATCACCAAGACAGAAGAAAATAAATTATAAGGCGGACTATAAGCAGATCTGACAATCATTGATGATGAATGGTGGCTCAACACCATAACATTATGCTTGTATATTTTGTTAATACAACGGATACTGAAAATGAAAAGAAATGTAAAGCCTGGCATAGTTACAGAGTAATGTTAGCTACAACATGCGCTTATGAGCAATTTCGAAGAACTTTTCCATGGGCAAAGGAACCAAGCATTCCTTATTGCCTTAATCCCGCTACGTAAATAAACAACGGTTCCGAAGCTCGGCGAGTCGGGAATGCCACTCGACGCAAGTCGCAAGCTGCGCGGGCGCTGACGTCACCGCCCCAGCCGGTTTGTAGTTCAAGATCAGCATCCGAGGTCAATCGGACGTGATCTTTGCGAGTCTATACGCATGCTGAAGGCATAGGTTTACGGTGGTACACTTCCTGGTTGTTCTGTTCGGCTCGCAAATTGGATAAATGATTGAGGATGTTATGACGATA